GGTGTCTGCCCGTGATGCAGGCTGAGCCCTGTTGTGGAAGGGCTGGTTTCCACTGCTCCAGGGCCTAGGAAGGAGGGGAGGACCCGGCTTCCTGGTGGGTTTCACCAGGGGACCCTGGTGAGTACTGGGTGGGAGGGTCCTGAGGCTCCAGGGTCTGTGTGTCATTGGGGTGCTCCATCCTCTCGAACAAGATGAGCATCTCACAGTGCGGGGTCTGCGGGAACAGGTCGACGGCCACAGCCTTGACTGGCCGGAAGGGGGTGCCCTTCACCCGGTTAGATGGGGCTCTGCAGAGGCTGTGGTGGGAAGGGAGCAGTCAAGGTCTGCCTCGTGGCTGGGCGCTGGCCCCATTTCACTTCAGACCCCCACCTCACACTCACTCGACAAAGTTGCCCATGGCCGCCCGGGGGTTGCAGGAGACATAAAGGAGACGCCTGAGATTCTCAGCTCTGCGGATGGCCAGGATCACTTTGGAATCTGAGGAGGCAGATTCCTCAAGACAGGGTTCCCACCTCAAGGGAAGAATGGAGGGCCAGTGGATCTGGTCATCAAGCCTGAGGCTACACAGCCCGGAGTGCCACCTGGATGTCATTGCCCTCCTCTTCCCTGTACTACCCTTAAGTGGAGGCTACTCACGAAGGCCAGCACGGGGTGGGTCCAGGATGGCAATGAGCTGCTGGGAGGCCAGTTTGCTCACCAGGACGGGCACCAGGTCCTCGGCCCTCCCACAGTGGAATTCGACATTGCTCAACTCTGCAGATGGCACAGCAACCCTGCTGGGACCCGGGACACCTGGCCCCACAGGACCCGCCTGAGGCCTGGTGTCCTGAAGGCCCTGACCAGAGGTGCCTGGGAAAACACTGGCATGGCAGTACGCTTGCCCTCCCCCCAGGTGGTCCCGGGCACACTGGGTGCACGTTAGGGGACGTGTTGTGCCTTCTGCACAGCTTCCCCCTTCTTGCCCTAGAAGCATATAGTGGGTTCCAAGGGTTGTGCTGAGGTGCACAGCAGGGGTGACTGCCCTGTGTGGGGCCCCAGCTCTCACCATTGCTGTGGGCGTTCACCCGGGCATCCTCCACAGCCTCCTGGCACAGCTCGATCCCCACAACTCTCTTCACCTTCTGAATCAAGGAAAGCACACAGGCTGACAGTGCCCTGCACTACCCCAGGAGCTTCTTGGGGAGGAGAATAGCAGGAGGCATTGTTGGGGTATATGAGAGGGTATGGGACAGGCTGGGGGTTTTGGGGGGGTGTGGTCACGAAGTGGTGCTAACCCAAGGGTGGGGTAGGGAGAGGGCACCTTCAGCTGGGGCAGCAGGGCTTACCTGGGCCAGGGCCAGGCCAATGGTGCCGGTGCCACAGCACACATCCAGCACAGTGCTCTCCGAGTCCAGGTGGGCCCAGTCCTGGATGACTGTGTAGAGCACCTCGGCAGCTGGGCTGTTCACCTGGACGGTGGGCCAGCACCACCACCCAAGTTAACCTTCCCTCCTGCAGCCCCAGCCAAGTGCCTTCATCCCCTGGGGTCCTCCCCTGCCCCGAGGCCTGTGGCCTAGTGCTTGGCTCACTTACCCTCTTTCTAGGTCTCCTGATCCCATTCCTCTCCACCTCTAACTGCCTAAGGACCCCAGGGCTAGTCCTGCCACTGCCTCACTACCCACAGGATGCTGGGCAACCTCACCCAGGGCCCCAGTTTTAAAAGCCACTCGATGCTGACCCCCTTCCTCCCAACCTACGGTCTTCTAAGTGCCACATGTATGGGATCACACCTCACCCCCCGCCACCCAGCAGCATCAGGCATGAAGACCTCACCAGAGCTCACACTAGAGCCCTGGTGTCACCTCATCTCCCACTGCCCACATGTGGTTTTCCAGCAGGGCTGTCACAAAGGTCCAGTGAGTGCAAATGACTTTCTGCCCCACTGCCCTTGTGGCTCCCTGGCCTGAGTGCTCTCCCTGAGACCTCTGCATGTGAACAGTTTGTTGCCACCCTTACCCATACCCCAGTTATGTCCCGGTATCACATCAGGTCTCCCTCTCTGTGTCTTTACGACCCCCCAGGACTCTGGCCTACCTGGAAGAAGGCGTGAGGGGAGATCTGGAAGGTCAACCCCAGCAGGTCTTCCTGGATGTACCGGTCCCCAGCTACGTGCTCCAGGGGCAGACCCTCTTGGCTGGGAGTCTTTCTGTGGGTGGTGGGGCCAGTCATTATCACCGGCATTCGAAAGGACCCGCACCATCCTCCCACCCTGGCTCCTTACCGCTGTCCCTCCTGCACGAAGTAGAGGCAGGTCACCCCACTGGCTTTGCCCGGACCCCCTATGAAGTACTGTGCCAATGAGGCCTTCAGCCCTGCAAGCTCCTCGGGGCTCAGTTTCTGGAGGAGACAGTAGAAAAGGCTGTAAGGCTGTGTTGCATGCAGCCTGCTCCAGCCAGGGCACCCTCCTAAACTGAGACCTGAGGATGGAAGTAGGCAATGGCCATGGCTTGGCCTCGGCGGCTGGTGCGCACAGTCAGCTGCTTCCAGTGGCCTGAGTATGTTTCTGGGTCATATGCAGAATATGGAGTAGACCTGTGGGAGTCATGAACAGCCCTGAGTCCCCAACATCTGCTGATCAGAACTGGCTGACCAGCTTCCTTACTTTTTCCTTCAGCCACACCCACTGGGCCACAATGACAGGACCCTCCCCTCCCCGACCAGTGGCTGGACCCAGGCTCTTTGCCACCAGACCCTCTCAGAACACCTGAAGCCCTCACCCCAATCCCCAAATCCTCACCGGATAAACTCCTGGAAGGCCTTCACGACCTGCTTGGTGGCCTCAGGGATGTGCACGGTGTCAAAGGGGGACGCAACAGCACATGTCCCGCCTTTGTACTTTCCCAGCCGGCAGCCGACAGTGTTGTCCTCCCCGTCCACCCCGACTCCCACCAGAAACTCACACTTGTTGCGATACTCGGTCTGCAGGGTGGGCAGAAGGAGGCAGAGAGATACGCTGACCTTACCCTGGAGCCCACCACTTGTGCGTGGAGGGAACCACAGTGAACGAGTGAGTAGGTGATGACCATATGTGAGAGGCCCCAGACCCTCCACAGGACACGGCAGTCCTGGGGACAAGGCCGAAAACAAGCAGTCTTGGGACCAACATGAGTAGTTGATGCAAAGCAGGAGGAGGAGGGATGGGTGATGACAGCTTCTTTAAGGGCACCGGGTGAAGGTCTGTGGGCCTGACCTGCTGGGGTGACGGCATGATCCCCTCCAGTGGGCAGCAGGCTTTGCTGTGCTTGTGCCTCTGTGAGAGCAGCCAGGGCAGCAGGGCACGGTTGGTTTTCCCAATTTCCCTATGGAGTGAGGTGGGGCTGGGGTTAGACTCAGCCCACTGCCATCAACCCATCTCCAGCTACTGTCCAAATGCCCAGGTGCCTGGGCCTCTCCCCTCGGGTCTTACTGCCCCCACTCATAACACAGGGAACCTACTGGCTGGCTCCCCCAGAGCCTGTGCAGACGCCGAGGGTGTCTGTATAGGGCGCAGGGAGGACTGAGCAAGCATGGAGCTGAACAGAGTTCAGTGTCAAGGGGGTGTCCACACTCACTTGGCAAGCTTCTGCAGCACCTGTTCACACTCAAGCCGCTTCTGATCAAGCTGCTCCGCATACGGCACAGTCCAAAGAGGGGTCACTACGTCAGCCACACATGTGGATGGCACTTCACTCTCATCCTCACGCTGTCTCTTCCTGGCCATGGGATCGGCCTTGGGTTTGGCCAGACGCACGCTGAGAGGGCGACCCTTCCAGAGGGCACCGTGCAGCACACGCAAGGCCTTGTCCCGCTCAGTGGCACTGCGGAATGTCACAAAGGCGCAAGGAGGTTGGCCAAAGAGTTTGGTTTTATGGGGCTGCAAGCCAAAGCGTCCCAGAAAGCGCCGGACATCACTGAAGCTGACATGGCGCGGCACGTTCTGCAGCTCCAACTTGAAGATCTCCGAAGTGAACAAGTCGTCCCTGATGTAGTTGTAGAGCCCAGGCTGAGGCCCTGACTCAGCAGGTGCCCCAGTCCCCTGTTCTTCCTTCTCCTCATGAGGGGCTGGGGCTACAGAGATGCCCAGGGCACTGCTGCTGTCCTCGCTGCAGCCCTCCATTGTCCCCAGGCCCTGGGTGAAGACAGGCAGGGGCTTGGATGACGGCTGGACTCTGGGTCCTCACTGCCCCACATGCAGATCTCCAGTAGTGCAACCCACACCCAGTCCCACCCCTTTCCATCATTCTCAGCTTCCACTCCCTTCCTCTCCTATCTCAGCCCTCATTCCCAAGAGTTTCCCACCACGCCCCCACCTTCAGCCTCTCCCATTAAGTCAACCACCTCTGCCCCATTGAAGGGAGATGCCCCGCCAGGATCACCCTTCAATGTACCTCATTGTCTAGCTTGTCATTCATTGTCCCGTCCATCCGCTGCATGGACTAAGAGCCGCACGAGGGCCGCCTCACCCTGGGCCTGGCGGACGGGAGACTCTCAAAGTGCTGGTTTAGCGCCCTGAGGCCGCTCCCACCCGGCTTCAAGCCAAGGGCGGGGCTGGAACCCTTTGTGCTCAGGTCCCAGTATCAGGCGTGGAGTGCACGGTACACCGCCCACCAACCAGGGTCCCGCGCCAGCCACTCGCCCCGCCGGTCGCTATCCCGACAGTCAGCGCGTGCAGGCTAGGCGGTGCGTCGCCGTCATTTTGACTTCCTATACGTCATCACTGAGCGCCGGCTCCGGCGCCGGCGTGTAGCTGCGGCTTTAGCGAGCACGAGGACCGCGCGAGGCTGTGGGGCGGAAGTGCGCGCGAGGGCCGCCGGGAAAGCACGCTCCTCAGACTGCCAAGAGGGCCGGGCATGCGCCACGGGCATTTTGGCGGGAAGCGCGGGGCGGGCTGGACAATGAGGGTGTCCGTCGCCTGAGCCAATAAAGCTGCACTTGTTTTGAATCGCGGCGCGTTTCCCGCCGCTGGGGTCAGGGGTCAGGGTTCGGGTCGCGGGGCGGAGGGAAGAGCGAGCGGGCGGGTGGGAGGCGCCGGCGCCAGACAGAGAGTGGAGGAGCTAGGAGTAGCCGCCGAGAGGCCCCGGAGCCAGCGAGGACCAAGCCAGCCGAGCCGCCACCGCCGCCTCGCCGCCATGGCGGCAACCAAGGTGCGGCTGGGCCCGGGCGGGTACTAGTCGGGGGCTGGGGGCCCGGGGCGGCTATTGGCGGCCACGTGGGCGGTCCGCGCAGTCGCCGCCAACCCCCACTGGCCTGCGGTCTCGGCGCTTGCGGGTCTCCGGGGCGCGTCGCCGTGGCCCGTTTCCATGGCCCAGGGTCGTGTTGTGCGGAGTGCGGCCTGGGGGCTGGAGACCTTCGGGGCTGAGACGCTCGGGACTTAGGGGCTCGGGCCTGGGGATTGCGGGGCGCCCGCGCGACCTTGGGGTGGCCCCAATGTCCAAGCTCCTTGGTCTCGTGTTCACTTCACTGCACGCCTAGGACGCAGGGCTGGCGGCTGGTTTCCTCCGACTCGGCCCACTTTTGGGCTTTCCAAGATCTTGCATCCCTCCCTCCCTTCTGTCGTCTGAGCAGCACTTCATTCATTCTGTCCTAGTCTCGAACCGCCACAGGCCTCTGCGGCGTAAGCTCTTGCATTCCCGTAGGGTCCAGGACGCGCCGACCCAGGGTGGGGGCGGCTTTGTTGGCAGCGGGTGTCTGCTCTGCTGAGCTGGCCGCTGCGGAGCCGCAGTGCTGTCCCACGAAGGAAAGCAGCGAAGGGCTTATCTTTTCTTTTCGGCTTGAGTCTGGTAATGAAGTGTCCAGATTTCTTACAGTTTTATAGATTACCAAGCCACGTGTTCTATACGAGCTGAACCTAAAATGATAATCTTTATGCTCTATAATTCTCTAAACTAGAACAGAATTTAATGGTTCTTATTTATACGACTCCTTTGGATTTAATTTCCAAACCAAGATAAAGTTGCTGACAGAACTCCTTTTAAAACCTGGCAGTCACAACTTTTTCTTCTAGTAAGCAAGTGCACACATTTTTCTCAACCAGTAAAAACTGAAAGGGTTGTTTTTTGGTTGAAGGATAACATTGTTCTCTTCAGTCCATTGTGTCTTTTATAGTCTACACTTGGCAGTATTGTTATCCACCTTTTATAGATGAGGATATTGAGGCTTAAGGAAATGGGGTGGTTTTTTCCAGGCCACTGGGTTAGTATTAGTAGGTGGCTGAGTTTTAGGAGTCCCAATCAGATGTGATTCATGCATCTGGGGTGGGTGCTGAAGCCCAGTGTGTCTCACTTTGCTGGACAGATAGACAGACTTTCCTAGTGTGGAAGGCTGTGACCTTAATTTCTTGCTTTCGGGTGAGGCCATTAGGGACAGCCAGTTAGGGCTGCCCACTGTGGGGCCTGGTGAGCCTGGCTTGCAGGGCAGGTACACTGCCTTCCGTCAACTCTGCACACCCTGTTCCCCCCACAGGACATCCATGAGGACCATGACACTTCCACTGAGAATGCAGACGAGTCCAACCATGACCCTCAGTTTGAGCCCATAGTTTCTCTTCCTGAGCAAGAAATTAAAACGCTGGAAGAAGATGAAGAGGAGCTTTTCAAAATGTAAGCTGATCTTGCTTCAGGAAGAGATCTGTTTGGTTTAAGACGGAAATCGTGGTTTTTATGGGTACTAAAGTGTTGGCCTGGCCTTTAATTGGACCGAGGCTGAGGAAAGAGCCTGGAACTGTGTGGTGACTAATCCCACGTGGAAATCAAGGCTGCTGCTAGGATGCACTCATCAGGTAACTCCTCACCGGGTGCCCTGCAGCCCCCTGCAGCCCCGTGGCCAGTGCCGTGGAGGACACAGGCACTCCCACCGTCCTGCCACCGCTCCTCCATCTGCAGTGGTGCACTGCCCCCGAGCCCCTCCAACTCACACGGCCTCTTTCCTTCTGTTGAGCTGGGAGTCTCTGCCGTTACTGTTATCTTTCATCTTTTACTACTGTCTTGTTTTTTTTGCTATAGATTTTGGCAGTCTGAAGCTTGTGAATCCCTGATTCATTGTTTTTAATGCACAAAATTGTACCTGGTGTTACGGAGAAAAGTGGGTGGTGGTATAGTTACTGAGATTACTTTTTAAAAATTACTCTAAATGTGCTTCTTGGCCTCTTCAGTGAGAAGCTGAAGGGCCAGTGTTTTGTTTTGTCTTATTTTTTCATTGTTTTGTTCTGTTGTGGGGGGTGGCATCGTTTTTGAAGCGGTGCCTGTGGCCTGTAGGCTCGGAATTGCAGGAAATGGTACAAATCAGTGGGAATAGGTTGTAGTGTTGCCCCTGTCCAGGCTTGTGGAACTCCTGCCCCTGTTCAGACCTATCCTAGATACCGGGTTACAGTTTAAGTGCTTTGCTCTGGATGGGGGCAGGGGAGCAGAAGCAGTCACCAACACTGGGCACCCTGCCTCTAAGGCAGGGAGCCGGGGAGACCACCTTCCCACAACTCCCAAGGGCCCGGGAAAGGAGAATCGCGTGTTCCCTTTGGTTTCAGAAGGTGGTGGGCATCTCCCCGAAGACACTCATTCTCCTGGGCTCTGCCTGGCCCAGAAATGCTGCTGCAGCCCAGGGCTGGCTCCTCCTAAAAGTGAGGACTGTCGGTGGCACTGCTGCTGTCGGTTCTTGTCCCCTCGGGGGGTGGGGGGTGGGGGTGCTCCTGGTGTGCTGGTCACAGGCCCTTCCTGAGGGAAGAGAGGCCAGCAGGTCTGGCCTTTGTATCCGGGCCCTCAGGACTCTAGGTCAAAGTCCCAGAGGTGTCCTTGTGAGAGCGTGGCCCTGTGGCCCTGAGGCCCCAGGAAGCCCCTGCACAGTGTCCAGAGACACGCATTGCAGGTTCAGGGGAGCTGCTTTGCTGAGGAGTCAGGTCCTTCTGTTAGAGAATGTTCTTTTTGTCAAGCTAAAACTTGGAATTTGCTTTTTCAGTTTTTTTGGTGACATTTTACCATGTAGTTTTTAGAATATAAAGATACAGTCATTTGTTTAATGTCCAGAAAATAAGTTTTTCCCCAGCAAGTGTTTGACTTCTCTGTTACCTTTTCTGTGTCTAACCTCTTAATGGCTTTTCTTGAAGGCGGGCAAAGCTGTTCCGATTTGCTTCAGAGAATGATCTCCCAGAATGGAAGGAACGGGGCACCGGCGATGTCAAGCTCCTAAAGCATAAAGAAAAAGGGACCATTCGCCTCCTCATGAGGAGGGACAAGACCTTGAAGATATGCGCCAACCACTATAGTAGGTGACCTCTTGGGTGTGTGTTTTCATTCTGAGTTCCCACACTCTGCATTGGGACAGCTTCAGACCTCTGAGCAGCCCACTCTCGGGGCTGCGCTGGGAACCCAGGAGCACACTGGTACATGGAGTGCTCGCTCACAGTGTGTTTTTTTAATTTAAACTAGGAAATGAGTTTTCCCAACGTGCCTCAGAACTCAGAGCAGACCTGCAGAGAAGCTAACCGCGCACAGGGGTGTGGAGTCTGGGCAGGCAGGACCGAGGGGGCTGGATGCAGAGCCCCAGTGTGGGCTCGGGACCAGGCTCCGCCTGAGGGCGTGTGAGTGCATCTGTGTGTGCTCGTGTGCATCTGTGTGTGGGGCGCCTGGGCGGCGACCTTCCCACCCTTCGGTGTGTTCTGTCCCCACATAGTGTCCCCCGAGGGTGCTTTGGGATTGGAATGGGTGGGAGAAGGTGGCTGCCTCTTACTCAGGTGTCTGTGAAGCTTCGCAGGGGTGGGTGGGGCTGCCAGAGGCCTTTGGGCATGTGGGATTCCGTAGTCCTGGGCTCAGTGGGGTGTGGGGTTTTAGGGTTAGCCACGCAGGGCCCGGGCTGTGATGAGGTGACAGCTCATCAATCTTTTGGCTGCTGACCTGTCATGCAGCGCTCTGAGAACATGTGTGTTCAGAAGCCAGTGTGTCCTGGGTTTGGTTCCTGGTCTCAGGCCGTGCTGCATTTCTGGCGTCATGTGTGTCTGCCAGGCAGGATCCCTTGTCTGTCTGTGCCCGTGGGGTGAGCACTTGCAGGAGCCAGAGTGGAACAGCCCTCAAGGGTGATGCAGAAGGGTGGTGGGCTTGCAGAGGCCCTGTGGGCAGGAGGGTCCTCTATCACAGTTGTTTCTGCCCTGGTCCTTGCCCACTAGCCCAGTTCGAATTGCTTCCTCAGGGGTCTTCCTGACTCCTGTGGTTTTTTTAGAGCCTTGCCAGTTTGCCGGGTCACTTCCGTGTGAGTTGCAAGTGGGTTCTGGGCCTGGCGCACACCGTAGGCCCTTGATGGACTGGGTGTTCCGTGGCGGGAGAAGGCTGTGCACAGCTGGGGCGGCACACAGGCTTGTGGGGTGTCTGAGTCGGCTGGGCAGCCGTGGTGATGTGCTGCCCAGTGCCAGAGATCTCCATGCCCAAGTCTTCTGCTGCTGGCGTATTGCCGGGCATGGTTTTGGGTTGCTTCTGTTCTTTGGGGAGCTGGTCTCCCTTGTTCCCCTTGGGTTTGCATAGAGCCTGAGGAGACGGGGTAGGTTTGCTTATTCCACGCCATCTGGCTGTGTCTTCCACGGCATGTGACCATGCCACAAGGATCCTGGCACCCACTCTGGTAGCCTTGTGCCTCCCTGCTGGTCTCCCTGGACAGTGCAAGGCTGTGTTGGTTTGACTGTGCATCTTTCTGGGTGATCACCCCACTTCCCAGCTTCTGGCCGTCTGTTGACTCCCACCTCCCAGTGGGCCAGGTCCCCAACGGTGTGGCTGAGTGTGGCCACAGCCACGCGGTAGACAGTCTTCACAGGGAGGGCTGGGTCTGCTTGGCATCGTGCCCTAGTCTGACCTGGGTCTGGGAGGTTAGAGCAGGGGGCTGGGTGTGATCGGCTGCATTGGCTTTGGAGCCCTTATCTGCATTGGGATTAGAGACCGTCACTAAGGTGGCCTCATGGTCAAGGAGCAGGCCACCCTGTTCCCAGATTTAGGGTGGCCCTGGTTTAAAGAGAATGTGGGCATTTTTTAAAGAGGTTTGGGTAAATTCCAGATTGTCCCAAATCATCCCTGTTTTGACCAAAGTGGGGTGTTGTGTTGGCAGCCAGGACCGCAGCTGTGGTGGGTGGCTGGGGTAGCAAGCTGGCTGTGTGGCAGTGGGCACTGTCCTCATGGGGCTTCTTCTGCAGTTACGCCAATGATGGAGCTGAAGCCAAACGCGGGCAGTGACCGTGCCTGGGTCTGGAACACCCACGCCGACTTTGCCGATGAGCGCCCCAAGCCGGAGCTGCTGGCCATCCGCTTCCTCAATGCTGAGAGTGAGCAGGAGGGTGGGCGGGCCTCTGGGCGGGCCTGACTGTCCCGCTGCCTGTTTTACAGTGTCAGGGTGCCGTCGCTCTTTGGGGAGAGGTGATGGTACCTGGGAAGCTGTTTGGGGGACTTTCTGCCCTGCTGTCTGGTGGCCCCTCAAGGAAGGGATCTAAGTGCAGCCAAGCTGTGCGCCTTCAAGGCCACCCCCAGACTGAGTCCATGAGCAGTGCTTTCCCCTCTTAACCTCAAAGGAGGCTGTGCCAGCTGGTTTCCCCTTACCATCACCTGGGTGCCAGCAGGGCTGTGCTAAGATCCATAGGCCCAGGCTCACCTCTCCCCTACTTGGGTGTCTTTCCAGCCCAGACTGTCAAAAGCTGTGCCTAGTGGGTCCTGGGGGACTTGGGTGGGTGCCGGGGTCCAGTGGCCTAGTAGCTCACCATCAGATGCTGAGTGGACCTCACTTCTGCTCTAGGAACGGGGCCTGCCCAGCGTCTACTTTCAACATGAGTAGAGATCAGAGTGCCTGAGGAGGAGGGCCCAGGCCCTTGGTGGCATGAAGCTGCCACACTGTGCTGCTGTGCCCAAATTGTCACAGAGTCAGATGGAAGGAGACGGCCCAGCATGGCTACTAGCCTCGGCAGGGACCCAGGAAACAGTCACTGCACGGGCTAGGCAGAAGTGGGCCCGGGGCCGCATTAGACGGCCTGGCTTTTCCTTAGGTCAGAATGGCTGCGAGACAGGCCCTCTGGGTCCTGGCTCTGCACACTCATTGGGTTCGTCCTCTTCACTGCTCCGGGCTCTGAGGCAGTCTCTCTTCTTTTCACAGATGCACAGAAATTCAAGACAAAGTTTGAAGAGTGCAGGAAAGAGATCGAAGAGCGAGAAAAGAAAGGTGATGCGGTGTTGGCGGGTGGGGGCCTACTTGCAGACTCACTCTGCACCTGGCTGCAGTCCCAGGCAGGTGCTTTTTTCGTCTGCCACAGAAACATTCCAGAGTACTGGGACTGCCTTGACCTGTCGAGGGTGACGCAGCTGCCCTGGGACATGGTGCTTTTTGGGGAGGGAGCTGGCCGTCCAAGCCCCAAGTGCATACTCAATGGTCTGGCCTTGTGGCACTTGGGCAGGTGAAGTCACAGCGTCTGACTGGAGCCCTGCGGAGGCTGAACGGGCTTCGAGAGGTGCTCAGGGTCACTTGCTTATGCAGGGCCTGACAGTGGCCGCCATAGCAAGTGACCAGATGTGACTGAGCAGACTGACTGAGATCCCAGGCACGAGTGTGTGTTTATTCAGGAGGCTCTGGAGGCACCTGGTAGAACAGTCTGTCTGTGAGGAGCGTGTCGGCTCACACGTGGCAGGTGCATCTGGCTGCGGTCTGGGCTGGGGAGGCTGGCGCTTCTCTGCTTTCTTACTGTGTTCCCGTGTTTCAGGAGGATCAGGCAGAAACGATAATGCTGAGAAAGTGACTGAAAAGCTAGAAGCGCTTTCAGTGAAGGAGGAGGGCAAGGAGTCTGAAGACGAGGAGACCAAGGAAAAAGCTGAGGAGAAGCAATAAGTCCTCTGCCCTTGTTTTCTGTTCCTTCCTTTTCCTTTTTTTAAAAAGAATTTGCCCTGGCCCTTTTCGGTTTGTTTTTATTCTGTTTTGTTTTTACGAGGGACTTTATATAAAGAACTGAATTCTAGCATTCAGGTGTTTTTTTTCTAAGTTTTTGCCCTATCGAAGATGATTTCAGAAAATCCATTCCCCAGTCATGAAAATGTACTGTGCTAACTTTCTTTTCCATAGTGGAAACACTTATTTATAGTCATCAAAAATAGTGAATAAACAACACATTGGAAACCTTCATGGAGGGCAGGACCGTGTGTGCGCCGGCCTGTGCTGGCTCCAGGGTGTGGGGCGGCGCTCAGGCTCTGACCCTGCCGGTCATGCTTGTTCTGTCCTGGACTTGGGGCTGCTATGGGGCAGCTGGGCCGGGGGAGGCCAGTGCTGGGTGCACTGCCTCCTGAAGGCCTTATGTGCCTTTGCCCTGTGGTGAGGAGTGGGGAGGCCTTCCGCGCGCCCCCCCCCCCGCCTTTGGGGAAGTGAAAGGGAGACCACCATATTCCTTGGCTTTGGTACAGGGAGGCCAAGCAGACCGCCATCCAGGCTTTGGCCAAGGCTGTCTTTGCTCAGCCTCACCCAGGGACAGGCCAGTCCCATGGCACACATGTGCAGTTTGTGGCAGTGTCGGCAGGGCTCGGCCCCACTGCCACCATCACTGGAGAAAACCACTCCATCGTCCTCCTGACATCTCTATCTAGGTGGAATCACAGATACCTGTAATAGCTTTAAATAATGGATGCTTTCAAGAATGCAAATGGGTTAGTGCCATTTGGGGGTTTGGCTTGTAGATGGGCTACCTCTGTAGACATCCTATGTAGGGGAGAAGTGCTGGCAGGCTTTCGAAAGCACGTAGTCTCACCTGTGATGGTGTGTTCCTGGGAAGGTAACCTCTGAAGAGCCGTGTGTGGCCTCCCCACCTTCCAGCAGGGGAGGAGCTGAGGTGGACCAAGCCAGAGTGGGTACTCATGCCTCCTGTGGCTGTTTTCCATTAACACTTCCCAGAGGCGCTTCACAGTGTGGAACGTCTGTGGGGCCCTGTGTGTCCTGTAATGTTTGTCAACTTTAAACTTGTGTCTGTGGTCAGCCTGGGGGATGCACCTCTAAAGGAAGCCACTCAGGCTTTAACACTGAAGATGTCACTGGCCAATTTTGTGTGTCCTGGCAGCCCTAGGCCTCGGCACAGGTCAACATCAGTGGGATGGGTTTTCCCACCCCAGGAGGGACACCGGAACTTGGACATCTCACCCCACTTCAGCTGGAATTGTGCTGTGAAGGGCAGATGTCTTCCCTGTGAGGCCTCTGTCGGGTGCATTATATGGAGGGTCCCAGGGGCTTGATCCTCCAGGGAAGGGTGGTCAGACATGCCTTTAGGCATAGAATGGATGTTTAACACTGCCTGGGACCCCAATAAAAGACAATGCCCCACTTGATGTAAAACCCCAGGCTGACTTCCTCTTGAGTAGGAAGATGTAACTGCAAGCTGGGAAGGCCCCTTGAAATTGCTGGAGGACAGAGCTGCGCTGTGACCAGGCGCATTTAAACCTGCAGCTGTTAGCACACACAATGTGCTGCAGTGGGCAGTGCAAGCAAGGATGCAGTAGGGTTCCTTTAGCCCTACAACCGCCTGCCCCCAGCCAGTATTTTCAGGTGGGCTCCCTGTGGCACAGAGGTGGTGGTGAAAAGCCAGAATTTGGGTGCTAGCAGTATTGGGAATGAAAAGAGGTGAGTTGACCTATGACCTTTTCATTCCTTGGCTGGAGTATTCTTGGGCTGTGGCCTAACTGGGTCCATCCCACCTGGGACCCCCTCTGCCCAGGCAGACTGCAGGCACGTCAACAAAGAGGCATGAGTGTCCCTTCTTCCTATGACCAGCATTTGGCACACTACAGTTTTCAGCTGTCCTGGCACCCCTACACAGAGCAGAGCCCTGCTCTGGGTGCAGTGGGTGAGTCTGGGGAGCCTCGCCTGATGAGTGGGTCTGTGTCCAGGCCCAGTTACCACAGGAGGGGTGGTGGTGTTCTATGAACAGAGCTGCAGAAAGGCAAGAACAAGGGTGAAGCTGCGGTAGGGCATGGTTTGGCTGGAGTGGTGTCCTTGGTTCCCCGCCCCCCCCAGGACCTGTTTGTAATGGTAGGCCATCATAGGGCCATGTTATCTCAGAAAGCCACGAGAGGGGTCTGGTCCAGGTGGGGCCTGTTCTTTGTTCACCTTTGCACTCTGAATCCCCCCCGCTGCCCCAGACCCCCTCTCAGAGCTAGTCCCCCATGCTCTGGGCCTCCTGGAGTGAGCAGAGGCCACAGTGGGGTGTTGTGGGAGAAAGTGCATCACCGTATCTGCTGTCAAGCTGCCTTAACGACGAGGTCTGGCCCCCATCTTGAGTTCTTTAACAGCGGCTCACAGCCTGCAGCCTTCGAAGCTGGGGCCTTAAGAAGGCCCACCTACTGGCAAGGAAGGGCCTCCAGGCCAAGAAGCCCCAGGGCCTCTGGCAGCTTGACCTGAGGAGATGGCCGCTGTGTCATGCACGGCCACGGATGGAGACACTTGCTGGTGCTCACTGGAGAGGCTGTGGAGCTTGATCCAAGTCCCAGCCTCCCAGAGCCTCTGCACACGCTGCCTCACTAGTCCCGCCCACCCCTCCCCGGCTCTGGGAGGCTGCTGGTCCACCTTAAGCAGCGTTGGTACGGGCGGGGGGGATTTCCTGTCGGAGGTGGGCCAGACCAGTGGCCTATCCCACGCAGGGGAAGGGTGCCCGGTTTTTCTGAGGGGTACTCCACCCTGCCCCGAGGAGGCTAAGTGACTTGCCCGGCCTTGGGCCTTTCACCCACTGATACTCCCAAGCCTGCAGCCTGGGCCAGGACTTGGAGGGACCAGTTCCCCACTGCCCTTACCCTGCCCGCTAGCTGTGCTCGGTCTTGCCAAGTGGCCAGAGGGCTGTGAGGTCGGAGGGGGATAAACAACCAAGGTGGCCCTGTACAACTCCCAGCCCCTCGTGGGAGTGGGAGGAACCCAGATGAGAGGACCCTGACACTATCGAGATCAGCGTGGAGTAGGGTCATCAGCCTGCCCTCAGGAACACACTGTTCCGAGGTGTTTATGGACAGGTCTGAGCAAACAGGCCTAGGAGGGGACTGACATGCCACAGCACCAGAGACTGCAGGCTGGGAACAGGGTGCCTGGCATCCTCTATGGTGTCCACTTGGTGGGCATGGCCTACAGTGTGCTACGGCTACGTGTTTCGGAGAGACGTAGGCAATTGCTGGGCGGGTGCTACAAGGCAAGAACTGGCCCGTCTTCCGCGGGTCTGAGCACAGAACTGGACAACCAGGTTCAGCCAAGCAAACACGCGCATGCGCGCTGCTGGGAGCTCTGGGGTCCAGGATTCGGTGGGCTCCCGCATCCTGCGTCGGAAGAAGGGCGTGGTGGGACTGGCGTTTTCTCCTGCGTCCTCAACCCCGCCCCCTCGCCGCCCAGCCCCGCCTCCTTGCCTGCCAGCCCTGCGCCCCTCGCTGCTGGGTCCACCTTAAGGGGCGCGCTGACATCAGCTGCCGCAGCACCGCCCGTGGGGTGGGATTTCCTCCTCCTCTGCCGCCGTTGCCGCCACCGCGGGTCCAGCGCCGCGTCCAGCCCGCCTCGCCAACCCCGGCACAACCCCGCCGGCCCCGCCTGTCCGGCCCCGGGGAGGGATGCGGCGGCGCGGCGCCCAGGATGCCCCGCAGCCCCGGGACGCGCCTCAAACCCGCCAAGTACATCCCAGTGGCCACGGCCGCCGCGCTGTTGGTCGGCTCCAGCACCCTGTTTTTCGTGTTCACGTGAGTCCGTCGCGTCGCTGGGGACGCAGGGGCCATAGCCGGGTCAGAAGGGGCTGGGACCAGGTACAGGGACCCGGTGCAGCTCAGAGGGCTGGCCAGGGCAAGGCTGGCACCCGGGCTTTAGGCATCGTGAGTCCTTATCCTGGGTTGAGGCTGAAGCCGTGAATGTGCTTTTCCTGGGGCACCATGGAAAGGTGAGTCCTGTGTGTGAGGACGCGAGTGCCCGGTGGGCACTAAGTGAGTGTGCCAGGCAGGCCCTAGGTGTGAAGCAGTGGGCCTGGACAGGAGAGTGTGCAGTGGCTGCTCAGGGTGTGGCTGTAGCCCGCCCCTTCCCACGGGCTTCAGGAGGCGATGTGGGCTGCCCAGAGCTACCAGCTCTTCCTTCGAGGAGCTAAGGACTCTCATGGGTTCTCTCTCGCTGTCTGGCCAGGGGCCAAAGCCAGGTTGTTCCCAAGTAGGTGTGGTATGGCCTGTCTCTCACGTGCCTGCCCCACCACAGTCACTGGTGACACTGGCCTGGCAGTACCCTCCACCCTTCCTTGACCTTCTTCCCAGGAAAGCCTAGAGATCACAGCTGGAGGGCCTAGGCCAAGCCACACCCAGGGATACTGGTCACAGTGGACTTCAGAACTCTTGAGGCAGAAAGTCAGCAGGGCTCTGGGCTTTTGCAGCTTTAGCTTCTTCATTTGGAATGCAGGCTGGCTCACAGACCAAAGTGGTGGGCTGAGGATATAGCTCCCTCTGCATGGTCGTGGGTGCTCCCCAAATCTCCTGGCACAAGGAAAGATTGGGACACCAGACTTTAGCCATGCGGGTCTGTGACCACCCCCTTCCACGAGTCCCAGGCTCAGACACAGCCCAGCTGACCAAAGCAACGACCATTAAACTTTCCTGGGGACCTGAGGCCTCAGGTGTGCCTGAAGCCAATGTGGCCTCTGTTCAGAGGCAGGTCAGCCCTAGTGTGAGTGAACCTGGAGCAGGGTGGGCAGGGGCTGGCATGGCACCCTTTCACGTTAGTAAGAGCGAGGGTGGCTGCCTTGTGTATGGTGAGTCTGTGCTGGGTGTCTGTGGAGGCGGGAGAGCCCACTACCTGGACTCTGGAGCTGGGTAGGTGCCATAGTCTGCCAAGAGCGTGTTTAAAAAAGGCCTGTGTGGACGGGCTTATTTCTAGCTTTGGCGAGCAGGCGTGTTCTTGTCACTCAGAGGCTGCTGCCTATGGGGCAGAGAGGAGAGGGGGGTAGGTGGGCAGTAGGCACAGGAAGAGGGGGAAGGAGTCCTGCTGGGTTTTCTGGGGCATCGGGGGGCCATCCCAGCCCAGTCCTGGCTGGGGGTGGGTGCCTCAGGGTGGGTGGTTTCAGGGAGTCTCAGCTTTTCATTTCTTAGGTGCAACTTAGCATTTTTCCTCCTAACACTCAAAGTAATACATGTTCACTA